TTTTTTTTTTTTTTTTTTTTTTTGATAAGGTAAGATTTTATTAATACGCAACAACAACAAAAAACCCAGTGCAATCCTACACAGTGGGGTCTGGGGAGGGTAATGTGTACGGAGACCTTACCCCTACCTTATGAAGGAAGAGAGGCATTTTATTAATATGCAGTATCAAGAAAATACAATGGGCTCCACCAATCTCGGTTGGCCTCAATCCACAGATTCTTGACCTCGTAAATCTACCCCCTTTGACACACCATAAACTCATGTACCTCCATTAACCCGCTACTACCTTGTTCCCTATACTGTCAAAAGACCATCTGCAACTGCTACATCATAATGGGCTATAGTGCAAGGTGGTTTTGAGTGTTTGTGGAGGGTATAAACAGTTTTCAAGGTTTAAGTGTTTTAAGGAGCTAAGCTGGGGATAGCCAATGGGTCAAAGGGCATAAGACACTTGTTGGGGTCTCAAAGATTGGTTTAATTTTTCTGTGCTTGCTTAAATTGGCTTTTTTCAAATGAATCAAAGGTCAAACCCTTAATCTCTATCCTTTAAGAATATAAAATCGGAGCTAACACAAAAGATTGGACGATTGAAATATGATAGCGATTTATATCTCATTTTCTTTGAATGAATAAGAGATAAACTGTAATGAGATAGTAATAGTCCGAGCGTCATTCTGCAGGTGATGTATGACTATGAAGATAAAATCAACCAAGCCGTTTTTCCCGGACTTCAAGGAGGTCCCCACAATCACACAATTTCTGGCTTAGCCGTTGCTCTGAAACAAGTAAGTAATTCGTCTTCTGTGTTTGTTTCCTATGTTCACATGTTTTCCTTACTAGGCGTAATTGTATATAACATCTCTTTGTATGTTATCTAGGTCATGACACCGGAATACAAGGCATACCAAGAGCAAGTTCTTAGCAATTGCTCCAAGTTTGCTGAGGTACTGCGTCCTTACTCATATAGCTTAGTGTATGATCGTTTCTTCTGGAGAGGGAGGTTATTTGATGCTTTTGTTGCATGTCTTATTTCTCATTATAATATTTTGCAGAGTTTGCTGGCGAACGGATATGATCTTGTGTCTGGTGGAACTGAGAATCATCTGGTTTTAGTAAACTTAAGAAATAAGGTACATGAATAATCTATTTACCTTTGATCATTTTGAACTGATTTTGAGAGCTTACTGTCCTGTAATTTAAATTGTGGATATTTTTGCCGACAGAGACCTCAAAGAATGTAGGTACTTTTTTTTGAGAGCTGTGTATATTTGCAAAATCTTCACTAAAGAAACTGGTCACAGATAGATAAATTTGTGCATTTCAATTTGGAAGTCCAACCCTGATATCTAACATGGGAGCCACCTCTAGTACAATTGACCAGCCTCGAATACGCCAATGGAGAACTTCTCCTGATATGTGCCTGTCATTACATTATTTATGATTTGTCACCGGCTGACATGGTCCATTCGGTAAATATCTTCTTCAGGGTATTGATGGCTCTAGGGTTGAGAAGGTTTTAGAGTCTGTGCATATTGCAGCCAATAAAAACACTGTGCCCGGTGATGTATCCGCCATGGTGCCTGGTGGCATTCGCATGGGTAAAGAACTTATTTTTCCCTATTTATGATTGCTTACATAACTGGAAAATTTTGTTTTCGGCATCTCATGAATTAACGGAAAACCTTTTAATATTCTTTTGGCTATATCTTTGTATTAACTAATTATTCTTGTAATGTGAAATTAAAAGCACTAATTAAAATGAGTAAATAGAACAGAAAATTATCCCCATTATAGGGTGACATACATGTAGCAGCAATTATGTCAAGTCAATTTACCCCTTGTCATGCTGCGATCCAGGAACCCCAGCTCTGACTTCTAGAGGATTTATTGAGGAGGATTTTGTGAAAGTGGCTGAATTTTTTGATGCTGCTGTGAAGTTGGCCCTTAAGGTCAAGGCTGAGACCCAAGGTTTGGTGATTTTCATCTTGTGAATTTCGGAATACATCAGTTCCCCTTATCATACAATAAATTTTAAAATTTTCACAATGTGATTTACGAACATTGGTTCCTGATAAGCGTAGGAACAAAGTTGAAGGACTTTGTGGCGACTTTGAGTTCAGACTCCAAAATTCAATCTGAGATTGCCAGGCTAAGGCAGGACGTTGAGGACTATGCAAAACAATTTCCTACTATTGGTTTCGAGAAAGAAACAATGAAATACAAGGATGGAGCTGGGATCTAGTATTGAGGTACTTCTGTTGTCCTACTTTACTCCCCAAAACAGGAGTTTCTGTTGTCTATTTCTGTTTATACCACAATGTAAAATCACGTATTCAAAACATTGGGTCGATTTACTTATCCAAAAGAATGTGAGGGTTCCTTTTTCTCACATTCTGGAATTTTGCTTTCACTGGCTCCTTTCTAACTGTTTATATGCCGCATGATTTTCTCGAAGAATATATCATGTGCTAGATGATTGCCTTTTTAGTTCAAATTTCTTGCTTTTCCTTGGCCCCTTATTAGTCTTATTCTGCTATCAGATTGAGTCGGAAGGCATTTTTCTCCAATGAAGTTAGAACTTTGTCTTTAGAAGTCTTCTGGAAGTCAACTGCAGACGAGGAAAAGAGTTACACGGATCACATTTGTATAATTTTCTAAATCAAAGTCATGATCAGATGTAATTTTCAAGCTGTAAAACAACTGTTCCAAAATTCAATTTGTCTCATTCTTGGTTTAGTGAAGGACGAGAAAGCTAAGATGGTTTAGAGAAAGCCCTTTTTGGAACACTCGCAAATGCATCGAGGAATAAGATGGTGAAATGTTGTAAAAATAGCACGGTATAGCCAGTTTTCGGACTGGTAATTCAAAAATAGCCAGCGTTTACGAAGTCAATGAAAAATAGCCACTATTTTGCTGCAACAGAGACCGGTCCAGCATAATATACTATAATTCGGTGCACCTGTGTATGAACTCCAGCATATTATGCTGGACCGGTATACTTTGCTGACTCCAGTATAATATACTGGAGACTGGAGCACCGGTGCTCCAAACTCCAGTATATTATACTGGACAATTATACTTGCTGGAACTCCAGTATATTATGCTGGAGTTCTAGTGTACTTATGCTGGAACTCCATCATATTATGCTGGAGTTCCAGCATACTTATCCTGGAACTCCAGTATAATATGCTGGTGTTCAAGCATACTTATGCTGGAACTCCAGTATAATATACTGGCGTATTTTCCGGGTTTTGAACAGTATTTTCGCTCAGATTTATCTTTACATGAAAAGTGGCTAAATTTTGATTATTTTTGAAACTGAGCTATTTTTGAACGACCAGTTGTAAATCTAGATATTTTTGAATTTCTCCCTGAAATGTTTGTTATAGCTTTTATGCATGTGAAGTGAACACAACTTAACAAAAGAAAACCCCAATGGTTTTGGGTTAAGAGTTGAAACGGATGTCCCCGCCAAAGATAAGTTCTAGCTGGAATTCAATCAATGCCGCCTGCAACAACAACAAAAAACCCAGTGTATCTCACAAATAGGGAGTTTGGAGAGGGTATTATGTTCGCAACCTTATCCCTACCGTATGTAGGTAGAGAGGCTGTTTCCGATCGACCCTCGGTTCCAAGCAAACATTCAAAAATATTTTTATCGGTCAATATCATTTTAAATTTCTTTATAATAATATGTCCATAGCTCAGGTGGAGATTGCCTTGTTATTGAAAATCCTACTCATTGGGATCAAAGCAGAAACAAATAAAGTAACCTTGAACGACCAAAAAATGAGATAACAAAATACAGAAATATACCAAAAGAGAATATTGTAATATGATTTAGTCAATTAACCTCTATTCATATGGGAGGAAGGAGATGGACATCTACGACATGAAAGACTACAAAAATAAATATCAAAAGAATAAATTCTTACCTAAATATGACTCTTCAATCCTAAAAGGACTACATTATGGAAAAATTATCAACTTATATTGTAGAAGTACAAAACTTTTTCCTCCGTGAAAAATAATTAGTCAAATAGAAAAGAGATATATATTTTATTTTCAAAAAAGTAAATAATATTATGGTAAATATTTTGTCCTTTCTTTAAAAAATAAAATAAAACTCAAATATGATAGAAAAATCAGACCAAACACTAACACGATCATGGTGATTGACTGATTGGTGGGTATTTTGTGTTTACACATTTAGTAAGGACTTAATAAAAAAGTTAGTCTATATATATATATAACATTTCTTTCACATTAGTTTTGGACCCTTAGTTGCTCGTTGTTGCCTGTCCTAATACAATACTACTATAATTATTCCATGTGAAGAAAGAAAATCAGCCGTCTTAGACAACTCTATAAATAGATAGAATAACTCATGGAGTATTCTAATTGGCCTGATGATTTGATAACAGAGATATTTGCGAGGCTGCCCGTGAAATCTCTTTTACGATTCAAATGTGTGTGCAGGAACTGGTACTCTCTTATTACAAGCTCTTTTTTTGTTAGAAAACACCTTCAGGAAAACCCTACCTGTCTCTTAATAGCTATTTATGGCGATGATCTCTCACAATCCGGCACCACTATTCATGTGTTGCCCGATAAAATATTACCCGGTTTGATTCCTGAAAAGCCTAATAATTTACAGATTCGTGTAGAGCTAGATGAGATTATTGGTCCTGTTGATGGCTTATTTTTGTTGCTCAAAGATTCACATATGGCTCTGTGGAACCCAGCTAAAAGAGAGTTCAGACCTCTTCCACCAGATCTTCTCAAGTTCACCCATTCTTGTCCAGCTGGTTGTTTTGAAAATATATTTGGCTTTGGCAATTTGATCCAATAAGTCGCGATTACACTACTAGAAATCCGGTAAAAAGCGACCAAAGTTGATCGCTTATAGGCCTAAAAGCGACCAAACATGCCTGGTCGCAATATTGCCGGTCCCTTTATTTTAGGGACCAAAGTTGGTCGCTAAAGGACCAAATATTCCGGGTAAAGACTATAGCGACCAAAGTTGGTCGCTTTATTATTTTAATAATATAATTTTTGCGACCAAAGTTAGTCTCTAAAGGTAAAATACGTTTTTATTTATTTATTATTAATCATAAAAAAGCGACCAACTTTGGTCTCTAATCCAAATATTATATTTTAAAATCTGAAAATAGAGACCAAGGTTGGTCGCTCTTTTATTAATTTTTTTTAAAAATAAGCGACCAACTTTGGTCGCTAATTTCAGGAATTTAATTTTTTTTAAATATAAGCGACCAAAGTTGGTCGCTATATTTCCAGATTTTTTTTAATGGAATAGCGACCAAGGTTAGTCGCTTTTTGAGAAATCTGGGTTAATTAGCGACCAACTTTGGTCGCTATTGCCCAGAAAATTATTTTTTTTAATAGAAAAGCGACTAAAAAGTGACCAACTTTGGTCGCTTTTCTGGGTATTATTTAGGTAGAAACTGTCTGTTTTGGCAGCTACACCACCTGCCAGTCATACCAAATCTCTATTACAAGCAACAACAACAACAATAC